AAACAACACAAGCCATAGTTGTAGTTATTGGCCCTCTTACTAACAAACATAGTGACTTACTATAATAAAACTTGATCCTAGTTCCCACTCCCTCCTTCCATAATGGCCCGCTCACACCCTCACATCCCATCCCCCCCCAACTCTACAGGGAGGGTGATGCCATCCAAGAGGGGACATCAAAATCTGTCTAATCATTTGGAGTAGTATCTAGAACTTCCCTCCTGCTTCTAGGCTAAAGGAGTATTCCTCCACGGGGAATGTGCTCCCAAAGTCCTTTTATGCACCACAGACACATCCTGGTATAACTGTCAGAGGTCCCTTAGACTGCCCAGGCCTTCTAACTGAGGTCCACGTTCAGGGATCTGATTCAGTACAATGCTGGTTTCCCAGCTATCAGTCTGGGGGCCATGAGCTGACCCTTGTTCAGGTTAGCTGTATCTGTTGGTTTCAGTAGCCTGGTCTTGACCACTTTTCTTATCACTCATCCCTCTTTACAACTGGATTCCAAGAGTTCAGCTCAGTGTTTAGCTGTGAGTTTCTGCTTGTATTGCCATCAGCTACTAGGTGGGGGCTTAATGATGGCATATAAATTAGTTATCTATCTCATTATCAGGGAAGGGAATTTAAGGTAGACTTTCTACGATTGCTCAGATTGATAATTGGGGTTATCCTTGTAGGTCTCTGAGTCAATTTTCTCTTCAAACTTATAATGGCTCCCTCTATTATATTCTCTTTCTTTTTCTCTCTCATGTATTAGTCTCCCAATTTAATCTTCCTGGTCCCACATGTGCTCCGCTCCTCCCCTTCTCTTTCTCCTGACACTCCACTCACTGACCCCACCCACTCCCAATATGCTCAGGGGATCCTGTCCTTTCCCCTTCTGTGAGGGACCTTGTATTATTGTCTTTGGTTCCTCCTTGTATACTAGTTTCTCTCGCGGTGAGAATTATATGCTGGCAATCCTTTGCTCTATGTCTCAAATCCATATATAAGTGAGTAAATACCATGTTCCTCTTTTTATGAGTGGGTTACCTCAATCAGGATGATTTCTTCAAGTTCCATCCATGTACCTACAAATTTCAAGATTCCATTGTTTTTTTTTTTTTTTTTCAGCAGAGTAGTAGTATTCCATTGTGTAAATGGACAACATCTTTATCAATTTTCAGATGAGGGGCTTCTAGGTTGCTTCCAGATTCTTGCTATTTCAAATAATGCTGCTATGAACACAGATGATCAGATGTCTCTGTTAACATGGATGTGTATATGCCCAAGGGTGGAATTGCCAGGGCTTGTGGTAAACTGATTTCGATTTTCCTGAGGAACCACAATACTGATCTCCAAAATGGCTGTACAAATTTGCACTCCTGCCAGCAGTGAAGGAGTGTTACCCTTTCCCCACATTCTTTCCACCATAAGCTGCCATTGGTGTTTCTAAGTTCAGTCATTCTGGCAAGAATAATATGGTAACTCAAAGTTGTTTTGATTTGCATTTCCCTGTTGGCTAAAAGACTGTTAAGCACTTTCTTAAGTCTCTTTCAGCCATTTTTGATTCCTCTATTGAGAATTCTCTCTTCATTTGTTGTTTTGGTAACTAGTTTCTTGAGTTATTTGTCTATTGTAGAGATCATCCCTCTGTCAGATGTTGGGTTGGTGAAGAATTTTCCCAGTCTGTGCACTGCCATTTGGTCTTGCTGACTGTGTACTTTGCCTTACAGAAGCTTCTCAATTTGAGGAGGTCCCATTTATGGATTACCAATCTCAGTGACTGGGCTACTGGTGTTATGTTCAGGAAGCTGTCTCCTGTACCAATTTGTTCAAGAGTGCCTCCCACTTTCTCTTCTAAGTGTGGCTGGTTTTATGTTGAGGTCTTTGATCCATTAGATGTTTCTGTGAATTCTTCCTTTGCCACATCATCGTCTGTATATAGTAGACATAAGGTTTTTTTTTTTTTTTAACTTAATCTTGTATCCTGGTAATTTGCTGAATGTGTTTTCCAGCCATAGGAGTTCCCTGGTAGAGTTTATCGGACCACTTATGGAAACTATCATATCATCTGCAAATAGTGACATTTTGACTTCTTCCTTTCAAATTTGTATCCCTTTGTTCTCCCTTTGTTTTCTTATTGCTTTAACTAGAACTTCAAGTACATTATTGAAGAGATATGTAGAGAGAGGGCAGTCTTGTCATGTTCTTCATTTTAGAGGAATTGCCTTAAGCTTCTCTCCTTTCAGTATGATGTTGGCTGTTGGTTTACTATATATTGCTTTTATTATATTTAGGTATGTTTCTGTTTTCCCTGATCTTTCCAAGGATGTTCAATTTTTTCAAAGGCCTTTTCAGCATCTTAGTGGGATTATAATGTTGTTATTCCTTCTCCATTTGTTTTTATTGTGGGTCTCATTGATAGATTTTTGTAAGTTGAGCCATCCCTGCATCCCTGGGATGAAGCCTATTTGATCATGTTGGATGAGTCCTCTGATGTGAATTTGGATTCAATATACCTGTATTTAATATAGTATATTTGGATCAATGTTCATGAGTGATGTTGGTCTGTAGTTCTCTTTCTTATTTGTGCATTTGTGTGACTTGTGTAACAAGCCCCATAAAAAGTTTGGTAATGTGTGAGGTTTATGTGAGCTTTCAGTTTTATTAGTGTTTATTTTATATATGTGGGTGCCTTTGTATATGGAGCATAGATGTTCAGAATTGAGACTTTGTACTGATGGACTTCTCCTATGATGGGTATGAAATGGCCTTCTTTATCTTTCTTGGTTGATTTTGGTTTGAAGTCTAACTTGGTAGATATTGGGATAACTGCACCTTCTTGCTGCCTGGGCCCAAATGATTGGAAGTTCTTTCCCCAACCCTTTTTCTCTAGGTTAGTATCTGTCTTTGAAGCTTAGATGTGTTTCTTTTTTACACCGAAAGGGTAGATTCTGTCTTCAGGTCAATTCTATTAGACTGTGTCTTTTTATATGCAAGTTAAGACCATTAATGTTGGTGGAAAGTAAGGACCATTCATTCATTAATTGTTAATTCTTATTTGTTTTAGATTTCATTTTGTTGTTGTTGGCAGTGGTATTGTTGTGTATATTTCCTATGCTTTTACATTTGGGTTCTGGTGAAGGGGTGTTATCGATTGGCTAGTTGTTTGTTATTGTAGTTAACGTCCTTGTGTTGGAGTTTTCCTTCCAGAACATTCTCCATGGCTGGATTTGTGGATATGTATTGTGAAAATCTGGCTTTGTCATTAAATAACTTGTTTTCTCCATCTACAGTGATTGAGAGTTTTGTTGGGTATGGTAGCCTTGGCTGGAATCTGTGAACTCTTAGTACTTGTAGAACATCTATCCAGGACATTCTGGCCTTGAGAGTTACCATGTAGAAGTCAGGTGTAATTTTGATATTTTGATTGATAGGTCTGCCATTATAAATTACCTGGCCTTTGTTCTTCTTGTCCTTTATATTTTTTATTTATTCTGTATGTTAGATGTTTTGATTATGATGAGTCAAGGGGAGTTTTTTTTGTTTTGTTTTGTTTTGTTTTATGTCCTGTGTATTTGGTTTTGGGTATGCTTCTTGTATTTTCATTAGCATAATTTCTTCAAATTGGAAAAGTTCTCTTCAGATTGGGAAAGTTTTCTTCAATGATTTTTTTTGAATATATTTTCTGCATCTTTGAGCTGGGGTTCTTCACCTTCTTCTCTGCCTATTATTCTTTGGTTTGGCCTTTTCATGTTATCCCACATTTCTACTATGTTTTGTTGGATTTAAGATTTTCTTTGGTCAATGAATCTATTTCCTGTAGTTTATCTTCAACTCCTGAGATTCTCTCTTCAATCTCTTATATTCTGTTGGTTACGCTTGTGTCTGTAGTTCCTGATCATTTACCCAGGTTTTCTGTTTTAAGCGTTCCCTCAATTAGGGATTTCTTTATTGTCTCTATATCAGTTTTCAGGTCTTGAACAGTTTGAATTGCTTCCTTCATCTGTTTTATTGTTTTTCTTTGCTTTCTATACTTTCTTTAAGAGATTTTTTTTATTTCATTCATATATTCTGTGTCCTTTTTCTCTATTTCTTCCAATTTATTGTTTGTTTTTTTTTTGCATTTCTTTTCTTAATTTATTTTATATAACAAAGTCCATTTAAATGAAAACAAACATATATACACAATATTTGGGAATTTGGGCGTTCTTTCCAAACTACTTCCTGCTGGTAAGGGGCGCAGTCACGGGGGATTCGAAGAAGATTCAGAAATCCTGGCAGAAGTCTGTAAGGCTGCTTTGTCCAGCTGTTTTGAATGTAGGATCACCTTGTACTCTGTTTCAGGCAGTCTGGCTTGATCAAACCACATTAGTCTGGATTTCTTCCATTTCTTTAAGGGATTTTTTTTTTCATAGCATCTTTGAGGGCCTGTGTTATTTTTAAGAACTTTTTTTTTTTAAGTCATACTCTTCTTCATCTGTTTTGATATGTTTAGTTCTTTTTGGTGTCGAGTCCCTAGATTCTGGTTTATCATACTCTTCTTTCTATTGTTGGGCATTTTCTTCTATTTCTGTCTTCCCATCACTTATTCCAGTGTGTGAAGGTGGAGTTTCTGTCTCTCTTTACGCTGCTGTCCTGGTGAATGTAGTTGGGTCAGGAGTTCGATGTCTGCAACCATGGATAATCCAAGTTCTCTTGGAGATTGCTCCCCCTGGCAGAGGCCAGTTGGTGGGGTTCAAAGTGTAGCATCAAGGTGTACCTGAGTGGATAGGTGGGTCCAGTGGGTTCAGAGCAGAGCCAGGAAGTTCCACAGAAGTGGAGGGTTTGTTGGAACCACACTTTTTCCCAGTGCCAAATTTCATATCAGAGACACACAATTTTTTTTTTCTTGTTTTTTTGCACATGGCCTTTGCTGTGGTGTATGGCAATTGCTTTGTGTGATACACTATTTGTGATTGTAGTTGATTATATTGATTACATACATTAAAAGGAATGAAAAACTCTTTTTTTTTAAGGAAAATAACAGTGGAGGAAAATTGTCGATTGGAGAAAGAGGAAGAACTTTTCAAAGTCAACAAGAGAACCAACCATGTGAACAAAGAACTAGACACCTATAGGTAAGACATCCTCTTTCTTATTTTGATGCTTGGCATCAGGAAGCAGTAAAATAAAATGGCTTTGTTGTTTTGTTTGATCTCAGACAAGGTCTCTGTATCCCTGACCCATCCGGAACTCTTTCTGGAGGCAGACTTGCCTTGAACTCAAAGATCTGCCTGCCTATGCCTACCAAGTGCTAGGACTAAAGGCTTGTGTGTCCTAACACAACTACTCAGTGAATTGGCATATTTTTGTTTCATTACTTTGTATTTGAATTTCGTGGAATTTTGTTGATATTCAGAGAATATAAAAAGGAAAATTTTCTTTTTGGGGATTTTGACATATAAGTATAAGCATATTTTATGTTAACATGAAGAAGTTTATAAATAGGTATGGATGTTGTGTGTGTTGGCACTGGGAGGTGGAAAAGAATGGTCACAAGATCAAGACCAATATTGGCTAAATCGTGAGCTTGAAACTAGCTTGACCTGCATGAGACCCTGTCTTCAAGAAGGACATGATGAGCAGTTAATTCAAGCTCATTCATGAATATTTTTTCAGCTGGGAAAGAATATACACAGTATTAGCATTCAGCAAGTTTGCCATGAAATGAACAAGCCACTCTTAGAATTTTAGTAAATGCTTAGCTAGTCTTTGGTTCAGTCCTCAGTGGACCTGAGGAAACACTAGAATGTCTGTTAGAGGATCACCACAGCAACTTGAGTCATAAGACACTTCTATCAACCTTAGGAAGGGTAAGTTTGGGCTTTGTCTAAAAGGACAAATTACTTTTTTGTTTCATAAAGACAGTAAGTTAGTTATACTTTTACCTCTTAAGAGTTCCTCTCCTGAGCTGAGCATTGGTGTCAGAGGCAGGTGGATCTCTGTGAGTTCAAGTCCAGCCTGGTCTACAGAGCCAGTTCTAGGACTGTTGGGGCTACAGAGAAACCCTGTCTTGAAGTAAACAAACAAACAAACAAACAAAACAAAACAAACAAAAACGATTTCCTTTTCTGGGACTCTGTTAATTTTATAGGATCTGAGTTTATCTTTCATGATTTTGAGTCCTGAAAATGAAAACCAGATGATCAGGCATGCTTGCATGTGCCTGAGACTTTTGCACTTAGGATGGAGGCATGGTAAGATTGTAACTGAGCCCCTGAACAGGCTGCTTGAGACCTTCTGTACTGTGTAAATTTTTGTGACATCGTGTTAGGCACATCCAAGTAATAGTGCTCACATAGTTTAATTGACATTAGACTTAGGGGAGGAGAAGATGGTCTTTAATACCTGTCAGCATCTCTCAAAAGAGGAGTCTTGTGGTTATAATTAAATAAGGAAGAACACTCAGTAATATTCTTGTAGCCACATGCTGTTATTCTTTATTATATGTCAGCACAGTGGAGTAACTATTTGTTCCATGTAGACGGCGTGCCAAGGATATCGAAGAAGAATTGGAGAGAACAATTTGCTCCTATCAAGTGCAGGTATGTGTGTCAAGTGACAGCTGTATATGCAGTTAGAGCACTCTGACTGGATAGAATTGATGCAGGACTGTAGCTTTCATCACTCCTGAGGTGTTTTGTGAAACTGAAATATACACAGGGAGCCAAAGATGCTGAAATAAAAAACTTCTGCAGCTTTCCTTTCTTTTGGAATGAGTATTATACAGCACAGCACTGTCTGGCACCATCACAGTCCCATGTTGTGCTTGTTATCTGTTCCTTGGAAACTCTAGTAGTTGATCATCTTCTGCAGTTTGTTGGCATTAAAAACCTTATGTTCAGGTTTGTTTAAAATTTCAGGAGAGAAAATCATCTGTATATGTGAAATTATGCTTTCAAAATGGTTATAATGCTTCAGAGATGCCTCGGCAGTGGGAATTATGGTTTGGGCCATGAATTTTAGTGGTGGCAATGAAAGTTTTTTATTTATGAATAATTTTAATAACTGTTTTTTAGGTTATGGCTCATGAACAAAGGGAACATGACTATTGGGTAAGTTTTTAAGTCCCCTAACATATACTATTCATGTTATATTAGTTAAAGGTATAGACGGTATTTAAAAATAATCACTTTCTATGAATTTTATTAATTTTACCAGTATTTAAATCATATTTAGGCCAGACCATAGGAAGCACTGAGAATTAATCTTTTATTTCTGTGCTTTACTTGTACATTTCCCTCTGAATATAATTAGTTTTAAAATCACAAAGTCTTGAGAAGGAGTTTTGGGGGTTGGAGAGAGAGCTCAGTATTTCAGCTCAGCACTTGCTGCTCTTCCAGAGGACCAGAGCTGTGTTTGGTTCTGAGCAAGTCAGATGATTCACATTTGCCTGTCTTCTACTTCCAGGTGAATTTAGACCCTCTTCTGTCCTCTTAAGACACCTCCAATCACACTCGTGTGTGCATGCACACACACATAACATGTGTACATCTTCATATTTATGTGTCATACAGTGAGCACCTTATAAGTCCAGGTATATCAGAGTCAGGAGAAACACTTATGCACATAAAACTAAATAAAATTTTAAAACAGTTAAGTGAATTGTAACATTTTACTAGCTCAGGGTATTGTACTGAATTCCTTTTTGTTTAAAATTGATTTTTATGATTACAATTGGAAAATAATTACACACAGAGAAACATCCTTTTTGGAGCAGGGGTTTGAGGCAAGGTTTCTTTGTGTATTGATGGCAATCCTGGAATTAGGTCTGTAGACCAAGGTGGCCTTAGTGATGCACCTGCCTCTACCTCCTTTGTACTGGGATTAAAGTTGTGCACCACCATTGCCTAGCTAAAAAAATTATAGTAGTAAAATATATTTAAGCTATATTTACGGTGGATGTTAAGTGCATTAGTTGGCTAAAGTCAATTCTCATGTATATTGCAAAGTTATTGACAGTAGTGTCCCTTTTATTTGAAGAGTGTTAGTATTTGCTACTTATAAATGGTAAGCTTACATTTTGCATTGATCTATCTAATGTACTCTATATTCTATATCTGATCTGTAGAGTCAACAGAATGGGAAGCATGTAGAATACCATATGTTTGGCTTTTATTAATGATTATTTGAGAGTATTGCAGGTTCTTGGTATTTATTATAACTAAGTTGGGCATGGTGCTGCACACTACCAACAAATACACACATACAAATAATAACTGCTGCAATTGTGTTTGTGAATGGTCTTATACTTAATAGTAGTGTGATATGTACAGATTGTATTTAGTTATTAAAATTGACCTGTATTGTCATTCTGTGAAACTGTTTTAGACATTTGTAGTTTCCAGTATTATGGACCTAAGGACCATCCATTTCCATTGACTTTGCTCTATGTTAGTCTGCTAGCCACTTATGATTGGATATTTTCATCATCAAATGATTTTAGGCTCTGATACTGCATTTAAACAGCAACATTAATTGTCAAGTACCAATAAAACTCCAGCTTTACATTTATGCATTTGGATGGCTTAAAACTCATTCCCTTTTTGAATAATTCCCAAAATTAAAAATGTTTTATATTGACTACAATAAGTGCCAATTCTCTTTTATTTATTTATAATATTTATTTATTTTTCTTATTTTATATATGAATCCCAGTTTCTGCTCCATCCCTTCCTGCTCCCTTTCTTCTACCCTCCCATGCCCAACCACCACCCTCAAATAACATCTCCCCACTCCACATGTAGGGTGATGAGTTCTTGGGTGGGTCATCTAAATCTGTCAAATCATTTGGAGTAGGAACTAGGCCCTCCCTCTTGCCTCTAGGAGAAAGGAGTATCACTCCATGGGGTACATGCTCCAAAATCCTATTATGGATCAGGGATACATCCTGGTTACACTGTCAGAGGTCCTTTAGACTGGCCAGGCCTTCTGAGACCCATGTTTAGGGGGTCTGAGTTGTTCCAATGCTGGATTCCTAGCTATCACTCTGGGACCCATTAGCTCCTCCTTGTTTAGGTCAGTTGTCTCTATGTGTTTCTATAGCCTGGTTTTGTCCTCCCTCTCTGCATCTGGATTCCAGTTTGGCTCAGTGTTTAGCTGTGTGTATCTGCTTCTATTTCTATCAGCTTCTAGATGAGGGCTCAATTATTGTACATAAGTAAGTAATCAATCTCTTTATCAGGGAAGGGCATTTATAGTAGCCTAGCAAATGTTGCTCAAATTGTAAATTGGGATGAGACTTGTAGGTCTCTGTACATTTCTCTATAATCATTTTTTATAGAATCCTATAATGGCTCCCTATTTTATGGTATTTCTCTCTCTCTCTTTTTCTCATCTATTCCTTCCCTGACTCAATCTTTCTAGTCTCATGTCATGTGTTTTCCTCTCCTGCCCTTCTCTTTCTCCTAGTCCCCTATGCACTTACTGCCCCACCACTCTGAATATTCTCAGGAGATCTTTTCCTCCCCCCATGAGAGATCATGTATGAATCTCTTAGAAATGTCTTGTATCCTAGTCTCATCACTGGCACTGTAAATTATAAGCCAGTGATCCTTTGCTCTATGTCTAAAATCCATATAAGTGAATAAGTACCATGTCCCTCTTTTTGTTACTGGGTTACCTCATTCAGGATGGTTTCTTCAAGTTCCATCCACTTGACTGCAAAGTTCAATATTACATTCTTTCTTTCTGGCAGAGTAGTAATCCATTGTGTAAATGTGCCACATATTCATTATCTATTCTTCTGTTGAGGGGCATCTAGGTTGCTTCTAGATTCTTGCAATTACAAATAATGCTGCTATGAATATAGTAAACAGATACCTTTTTTGCATGGATGTGGATCATTTGGGTATATGCCTAAGTGTGGGATTGCTGGGTCCTGTGATAGACTGATTCCCATTTTTCCTTAGAATCACCATAATGATCTACAAAATGGCTGTACATGTTTGCACTCCTGACAGCAGTGTAGGGGTTATCCTGTTTCTTCATATCCTCTCCAGCATAAGTTCTCATGGTGTTCCTAATTTTAGTATTTCTGGTAAGATGTTATCTCAAAATTGTTTTGATTTGCATTTCCTTGGTAGCTAAGGATGTTGAGTACTTTCTTAAGAGTCTTGAAGCCTTTTTGATTTCCACAATTGAGATTTCTCTCTTCAGATCTGTGCTCCATTTTTAATAGGTTATTTGGTGTTTGGTGACTAGTTTCTTGAGTTCTTTGTATATTTTGGAGATCGGCCCTCTCTCCGATGTATGATTGGTGAAGATCTTTTCCCAGTCTGTGGGCTGTTGTTGGGTCTTGTCAAGTGTCCTTTGCCTTACAGAAACTTCTCAGTTTCAGGTGCTACCATTTATTAATTGTCTGTGCTAACGGAGGTATGTTAAGAAAGCAGTCTCCTGTACCAATTTTTCAAGGGCACCTCCTACTTTCTCATCTAAGAGGTTCAGTGTGGATGGATTTATGTTGAGGTCCTTGATCCATTTTGACTTGTGTTTTATGTATGGCTATAGACATGGGTCAATTTGCAGTCATCTACAAACTATCATCCAGTTGTGCCAGCACCATTTTTTGAAGATGATTTCCTCTGCTCATTGTATGCTTTTAGGTGTTTTATCAAAAATCAGTTGTTTGTAGGTGTGTGGGTTAATGTCAGGATTTTTTATTTGATTATATAGATCTACTTGTATATTTTTCTGCCAATACCAGGCTGTTTTCAAGAGTACATCTCTATAGTAAAGCTTGAAATCAGAGATGGTCATGCCTCCTGAAGTTCATTTATTGTACAGGGTTGTTTTTTTATACTCAGTCATTTTTTTCTCCATATGAACTTGATTATTATTGTTTTAAGATCAGTGATAAATTGTGTGGGGATTTTGACAGGGATTTCATTGAAACTGAGAATGTTTGTGGTAAGATTTCCATTTTTACTATGTTTATCCTACCTATCCAAGAGCATGGGAGATCTTTCCATTTTCTGGTATCGTCTTTAATTTCTTTCTTTAGAGTCACAAAGTTCTTATTATATAGGTCTTTCTTTTTTTACTTGTTTGGTAAGCTTTACAACAAGATACTTTATGTTGCTTGTGGCTATTGTAAAGGGTGATGTTTCTCTGATTTCTTTCTCTACCTCTTTGTCGTCTGAATAAATTAGGGTTACTGATTTTTTTTAAGTTTATCTTGTATCCTGCTACTTTGCTGAAGGTGTTTGTCAGTGGTAGGAGTTTCTTGGTAGAGTTATTTTGGGTCACTTATGTAAACTATCATGTTACCTGCAAATAGTGACAGATTGACTTCTTCCTTTCCAATTTGTATCCTCTTGATCTCCTTTTGTTGTCTTATTGCTTTAACTAGGACTTCAAGTACATTATTGAAGAGATATTGAGAGTAAGAGAGCAGCATTGTCTTGTTCCTGATTTTAGAGGAATTGCCTTAATCTCTCCACTCTGTTTGATGTTGGCTGTTGGTTTACTGTATATTGCTTTTATTCATTTAGATATGTTCCTGTTATCCCTGATCTCTCCAAGACCTCTATCTCAAAGGTTTTTCAGCATCCAGTGACATGATTACGTTGTTTTCCTTTTTCAGTTTGTTTATATTGTAGATCACATTGATAGATTTTCATATGTTGACCTGTCCCTGTCACCCAGGGATGAAGCCTATTTAGTCATGTTGGATGATTTCTCAGATGTGTTCTTGGATTCGATTTTCCAGTACTTTATTGAGTATTTTTGCATCAATATTCATGAGGAATATTGGTCTTTAGTTCTCTTTTTTTGTTGTGTCTTCTTTTGGCTTAGTTACCAAGGTAATTGTGGCCTTGCAAAAGGAGTCTGGTAATTAACATTCTACTTCTATTCTGTGAAACAATTTGTGGAGTTACGTTATTAGCTTTAGCTGGAATTTATGGTAGAATTCAGCACTGAAGCCATCTGGCCCTGGACTTTTTTTGGTTGGGAGGCTTCCAATGACTGCCTCTATTTCAGTGGGGATTATAGGTATTTTTAAGGTGCTCATCTGTTCTTGATTTAATTTTAGTTAGTGATAGTTATTGAGAAATTTGTCCATTTACTTTGAGTTTTTAAATTTTCTGGAGCATAGGGTTTCAAAGTATGACCTGAAACTTGTCTGGATTTCCCCAGTGTCGGTTGTTATGTCTCCTTTCTTGTTTCTGATTTTGTTATTTTGTGTATTCTCTCTCTGCTTTTGTGTTAGTTTGGATAAAGATTTGTCTATCTTGTTCATTTCCTCAAAAAGTGAACTCTTTATTGCATTGAGTTTTGTATTGTTTTCCAAGATTCTACTTTATTGATTTCAGCCCTCAAATTATTTCCTTGCTTCTATACCTCTGGGGTGAGTTTGCTTCTTTTTGTTCTAGGGCTTTCAGTTTTGCTGTTAATTCTCTAATGTGACTATTCTCAGTTTTCTTCATATGGGCACTTAGCGCAATGAACTTCCCTCATAGCACTCTTTCAAGGTGTCCGATAAGTTCGCATATGTTGTGTCCTCATTCTTGTTGAATTCTAGGAAGTCCTCCATTTCTTTCATTATTTCTTCTGTGATCCAGGTGCAATTGTGCACTGTTCAGTTTCTGTGAGTTTGTAGGATTTCTGCGAGGTGTGTTGTTGTTGAATTCCAGCTTGAAAGCATGGCGGTCTGATAAAATACAGGGGACTATTCCAATTTTTTGTATCTGTTGAGGTTTGTTATGTGGTCGATTTTAGGGAAGGTTCCATGTGGAGCAGAGAGGAAGGTACATTCTTTTGCGTTTGGTTGGAATGTTCTATAGATGACTGCTAAACCCAATTGAGACATAACTTCTGTTAGTTCTTTTGATTATTTGTTAAGTTTGTATCTGGTGGAAATGTCTAGTGGTGAGATTGGGGTGTTGAATTATCACACTGTGAGTATGTGAGGTTTTATGTAAACTTTGAGTTTTAGTAGTGCTTCTCTTACAAATGTGGGTGCCTTTGTATTTGGGACATATATGTCCAGAATTGAGATTTTGTGCTGATGGGTTTCTCTACGATGAATACGAAATGACTTTATTCATCTGTTTTGATTGATTTTGGTTAAAAATCTAACTTATTACATATTAGGAGAGCCACACCTGCTTGTTTCTTGGGTCCATTTGATTGGAAGTTCTTTTCACTACCCTTTGCTATGGGTTAATGTTTGCTTTTGAAGCTTATCTGTGTTTCTTGTATTCAGCAGAAAGATGGATTCTGTCCTGCTATCCATTTAGCCTGTGTCATTTTATATGTGATTTAATACCATTAATGTTGAGGGAAAGTAAGTACCATTGATTGTTAATGCTTATTTGCTTTAGATATTTTGTTGGCCATGGTATTCTGAATATATTTGCCCTGTTTTTAAGTTGGGTTCTGATGAATTGGGGTCATCTATTGCCTATGTCTTCATGAGCCTAGATAACTTCCTTGTGTTGGAGTTTTCATTACAGAAGTTTCTGTAGGCCTGGATATGTAGATATGTATTGTGAAAATCTGGCTGATTCTTTTTTTCTGTCTATAGTGATTGGGAGTTTTGCTGGCATAGTATCCTGGGGTGGCATCCATGGACTTTTAGCACTTTTAGAACCACATATCCAGGACCTATGGTCCTTGAGAGTTTCCATGGAAAAGTCCGGTGTAATTTTGACTGGTCTGCCTTTATATGTTACCTGGTCTTTTTTCTTTGCTGCTCTTAAAATTCTTTCTTCATTCATATGTTTGATTATATGTGTCGAGGGGTTCTTTTTCCTTGGTCCAGTTTATTTGTTGTTCGATATGCTTCTTGTATTTTCATGGACGTATCCTTTCCAACTTGGATAAGTTTTCTTCATTGATTTTGTTGAACATGATTTCTGCCCCTTTGAGCTGGGCTTTTTCAAGTTCTTCTATACATATTATTGATAGAGTTGGCCTTTTCACAGTGTCCAACATTTCTTGGGTGTTTTCTGTTAAGGAGTTGTTGGAGTTAAGATTTTCTTTGGTCAATGAATCATTTCCTCCTGTTTATCTTCAGTGCCCGAGATTCTCTCTTACATCTCTTGGTTTTTGTTGGTTATGCTTACATCTATAGTTCTTATTATTTGTGCAATTTTTCTATTTCCAGCATTCCCTCAGTTTGTGTTTTCTTGATTGTCTCTATTTCAGTTTTCAGGTTTTGAACTGTTGGAATTATTTCCTTCATCTGTTTTTTTCTTGACTTTTCTTACTTTCTTTAAGAAATTTGTTCATTTTTTTCCATTTTTTTTGCATATTTTTCCTTTCATTTCTCTAAGGGATTTTCTCGTATAGTCTCTGAGTGCCTCTGTCATTTTTATGACGATATTTTCTAAGTCCTCCTCTTCTGCTTCATCTGCTTTCAAGTCTTCAGGTCTAGTAGTTGGTGTAGATTCCCTAGATTCTGATGACTTCCTTCTTGTCTTTCTATTGTTAGGTGTTTTCTTGTATTGTCACCTTACCTTCACTTCTTCCAATGGGTACATGTGGGGTTTCTCTCCTGTTTATGCTACTCCCCCAGTGGGCTTAAGTGTGTCAGGAGTTCGATGTCTGTATCTCTGTGTGGTCCAAACTCTCTAGGAGCTTACCTCTCAGGCAGGGGCCTGGCAATTGGGGTCAATGATCAGGTAGGCAGGGACTCAGTTGTCCAGCATGGATAGTCTGGTCTCTGGCAGAGGCCTGGCTATTTAGGTATCAGGCAGAGGCCAGGCGATGGGATTCAAAGATTATGCAGGAGGGGACTTGATGTGGTTTAGTGTGCTCAGAATAGATCCAGGAAGTTCCCTGAAGTTGGCGGGATTATTGGACCTGCTCTGTGGTCCAGTGCTCAATGAAAGCAGTGGGACAGTGGCCTAGTTAGGGCACAGGTTGGGGTGAGGGCAGATTCTGGGTGGGTGGTTTGTGGATCAAAGTTCTAGGAGTGTTCTCGATGGCTACTGGATGTAGGTGGGAGCTACATTCAGGGCTAACCCGGAAGTTTCCAGGGAAGGGTATGGCAGGGATTGGACCTGAACTGGTCCCAGATTCACCTCCAGCAGGGTCCCGGTCATGAGGGCCAAAGATCAGGTAGGCGGGGACTCAGGGTGGTCCTGCATGGATAGGCATTCTGGGAGAGGTCTGGCACTCCAGCAGAAGTCAGGAGATGGGGGTCACTGAAAGAAGCATGGTGATGGGGGTGAAAAAAGATAAGTGCAGATTCTTAACCTGTTTTTAGTCGTGAAGTTATATGCCATCATGCTCTAGACATTTGAGATTTTATAGATATAGTTTCAAAATCTATTATTTTCTTCAAGCTGGAAGCTCGTGCTTTGGAAAGAAACGTCAATGAATTAAAGAGAAAAAATGCTCTGATGAGACAAAAGTAAGTATTCATAAGAATACTTTATTTGAAATAGTTTCTTCATTGTGTAATGCTTGTATAAATATATTTTTTTAAAATAAATGTAGTAAATTTCATAATGTTATAAAATATCTGGTCAGTTTTAGTACTATGAAGTTTAATTTGTGTGAAATACTTTTGTTTGGTTAGTTCAGGGACACTTCAAGATGCTTTTACAAATCACACTATTAAAAGTGTCAGGTAAAAACATTACAGAATGATGAGTGTAGAAAAAACAAGAGTGGGCAAAAGAAAGGATGCCTTTCTGACACTGTGATGCTTTCTCAGAGTACTTCATTCCTAGTAAATAAAGCTGTTCTATTTCAAGTCTAAGAAACAGGAATTAAGTAGCACTTTTTTAGAAATGTAACACTTAAAGATACAAACTTTAGAAATGCAATAGTCTCCTCATTTAGTGGAATTTTAAATTTTACAAGGGGAAGTGTGGGTAACTCAGAGCAGTTCTGCACTGTTGCCCTGACCTTTTCCTTTCAGAGTCAGTTAAAGCCCCTGCCTCAGTTTCCTTAGTCATAAAATGACACATTTCTACTAGTTTATCTAGTATGTTCTACTTCATGAATGTATGTATACTCTGTAAGATAGCACTCAACCAAGTACAATTTATAGAAACATCCAGTTGTAAACATGAGCACCTCTAAGAAGAAGCCAGACCTCCATAAGAAGTGTGGAACTGTAGAAATGGATCTGGGCAGATCAGTGGTTGTTCTTTTTCTTTTTTTTTTTTTTTTTTTCAGCAGATTTTGAGCTTGGAACTGCTTTGGAATTGGCCTTTGCCTAAAATGTGGTGTTTCTTTCTGATGAGTAACATAGATATATTTGTTTTTTGTTTGCAGACTAACTAAAGCAGGATATTCACCTGATTTTATAAAGACAGCATTTGGCAGAGGTAGTGTTTTTTATAACCCATATTTTAAATACATATCATGTATCCATATATATTGTATATAATAGTTTAGTTTAGTTTAAATTAACATTTTCACCCAACAGTATTTAGGATTTTGTAGTGGTGATTTTATTTGAAATTGTTTCATTAACTCTGGGTTTTGGCTTATTAGCATTAATGAAAATGACTGATACCTCATTTTCTCAGGGAAATGTCCTGACAGGTCCTTTAAAGGCACAGTGCTATTAATAAGGTACCATTAGTTATTTTTGGGGAGAATGAATGAGAAGTATTTAAGTGGAATAGCATTGTGACTACATATTAACAATACTTTAAGAATTTTTGAATGGTTATTTTAATTATCAAGCAAATTTCAGAGTATTGATTTAAAAGTTAAGACAAGGTCTAGAGTTTGATGACTGTAATAATCCCAGGGAGCTTAGCCCTTCAAAGATGTATTTAGTACCTCTGCTGGTGATTTACTAAGTTAGCATTTTAATGACTTCCAAAGAGCTAATCATTTGCATTGTGCTTTCCAGTTGAAGTGGAATTAAAGAGAAATCTTCATGGGTAGAATATACCTTCAACTACCTATGGACGTCAGCAATCATTTTGAGAGTCATATTTCACTAAAATGTAAATATATATTACACTGCAAATATTGAAGACTTCAAGTAGTAACAATGCTTGGAGTGGGACAAATATATAGACGATGCCACTATGATGGGTCAACCATGCTTTGATCGTCTCTGTAGACCATTTGTTGGGATGGTACACACTCTGTAAGATTTACTGTACTTGAAACAGGAATTCCCTGGTGTTTAATTTCCTTTTGTTGCTGATTTTGTTGATTTTTTTTTTTTACCTTTGGAAGCATAATCACAATTGGGAATGATGAATTTGTAAAATGATAGGGGTCTCAGTCATCTGGATTATATATTGAATACATGGTGATATTTGAGTCTTTAACTTGAAGAATTCAAAAGTAATTTCTGATTCTCCACAGTATTTTATGAATTTGTTTACTTTTATAATCTGACTTTTACTTGGGCAGTGTTGGTGTATGGCTTTAGTCCTAGCACTTGGGAGGCAAAGACATGTAGATCTCTGATTTTGTGTCTAGCCTGGTCTACAGAGTGATTTCCAGGATAGCCAGAGCTACACACAGAGAGATGCTCTTTCAAAAAACTAAAAATCAAAACAAAATAAAACCTCCCAAACTGTGTCTCCCAAACTGTGTGACTAGAACATTTCATGGTTGGCCATGACCTATGTGGCTCTGACTTAAATCAAGCACTTTCACATTGCAAACCTTCATGTATGTAGTAGGGTTTTTTTCCCCCCGGCGCCTGGGCCCACCACCACCCTAGCCCCAAATAACACACAGAGACTCTATATTTGATATAATGCTGTTGGCCAGGTACTAGTTTCTTATTGGCTAGTTCTGTCTTAAGTATTAACCCATTTCTGTTAATCTAAGAATTTCCAAGTGGTTTCATCTTACGGGGAATGGGGCCGGCATCTGGTCTCCCCAGTCTCTCCATGCTGACTCCTCCTTACTACTTCCTGGAATCCTTCTTGTCTCCTAGTACTACCTGTCTTGCTTTCCTATTGACCAACAATACTTTATTCATTAACCAGTATGATAAGGTGATGGGAGATGTCACTCTGTAAATACGTTTATCATACTGGTTAAGTTGGATTATTGGGAAGTATATGGTCACAAATTTCCAAAAATATCTGTGTATGTTGTCAGACACGTTTGAATCGTACTCTGAGTCAAAAAGGGAAATCATTTTCATTTTCAGGTAATTGGGTATGCATACCCAATTCCAGGCCAGCTAGGGGTACATAATGAAACCATTTCAGAAAACAAAATAAAATGCAACACAAAAAATGACAAGCTAACAAAGAAACACAAAAAGCATATGCACATCATCCTCCCTCAATCCTATAGTGACTCCTAAATACCAACAGCAACCTTTGTTTAACTTGTGTGGCTATATACAGTAGATAATAGTTTGGCATTGTGTGTGGTTCTGTTGTTTTTTGTTTCGGTTTTATGTAAAATACATCTTGAGAGTTGTGTTATTTACCCAGGTAAAATTTCTCTAGAGCTTGTATCCTGCCTTCCACATTGAACATATAAATATAAAAATAAGCACCATTCCACTCAAACTTATGACCTTCCTATTTTAAAAATCAGAATTGTTTTTGAGATGAACAGGTGACTCAGCTTTTAAAAGCACATATTGCTGTTGCAGAGGACCTGAGTTCAGTTCCTAGCACACATATTGAATAGCTCAAGGTCCATGTAAACTTCATCTTTAGAGGATCCAATGCCTCTGGCCTCATTGGCCACTGTACCTTTCATGGACATGACCCCCATGTTGATAGAAAGGTAGAAAGAAAGAATAAGAGGAAGAAAGAAAGAAAGACACACACACACACACACACACACACACACACACACACACGCCAATTTAAAAAGAAAACCTTGAAAATATCAGAATTCTTTACATAGGTGTAAAGCTGAGGGAATTCAAGGTGTGAGTATTTATATATGCACCTTATGCTGTTATTTTAATAAACTTCTAATTTGTTGAAAAGCTTCAAAAACACCATGCTCTGTTCAAATCTGTGCAGTGTTCAGGGCACATATTAGACATAAGCTGACAGACAGTAGGATAACACGATGAGAGCTGTTGAATGTGATTCTGACTTATGGTTCAGCTAATTGGATCTGCATTTAAGACTGCTGTTATTATCATTGTCATTATTATTATTATTATTATTATTATTATTATTATTATTTTCTTTTAGATGTCGATCCCAGTTCTCTCCCTCTCCCTCCCTCCCTACCTCTTACCCTCTCTCCCCCTTCACATGTACCCTGACCACCCTCCCCTCCCATCCCCCCACCCAATTCCACATGTGGGGCAATGACATCCAGGTGGGGACATATAAATCTGTCAAGTCATTTGAAGTAGGGACTAGGACTTCTTTCCTGTCTCTAGGTTAAGGGAGTGCCCTCCATGGGAACATGGGTCTCAGCTAGAAGGACTACCCAGTCTAAGGGACCTCAGGCAGTGGAACCAGGATGTATTCCTGGTGCACAAAAGAACCTTGTATATACAACTGCTGTTTTAATTATTCCAGAGCACTTCCCATATGGTCCCTATATACTGTGCTGACCTTCACTGAAAGGAGCTATTCTCTCTCCTCCAACTGTGTTGGAGGGTCTATTCAGAACCTCACCTTTCCTTCAAGAGGGAGGAGGAGGAAGCATAGTATTTAAACATTTTCATTACTCTAAAATCTCCCTTATGTTATCTTTTCATCTCACTTTACCTTTAAAATAATCTGTGAGTAGACATTTGTGAAGTATAGGCACTGCTTTTACTTATATTTCTAGAGAAAATTTTTTTGGGTAAATAACACAACTGCTTGTAATTATAGACTTACTTATTTTTTTAAACCGGGTAAATAATGTTAGACCAGATATGGTAGCACATCCCTTTAATTCTAGCAGTTGAGGTGCAGAAGCAGGAGGATTTCTGTGAGCGTGAGGGCAGCCTCATCTACAGAGTGAGTTCCAGGCCATTCTGAGAATTGCTTAGTAAGACTCTACCTCAAAAACAACCAAACAGCAAAATCCTTTGTAGCTCCTTGTTCTGATCTGTATTCTTCTTCCACACAGTTTAAGGCAAGTGTCCACCCGAACTATGGAAATTCAGGAATCCAGAGTGCTCTCAATGACACTGTGGGTGTATGTAGCACTCAAAACTTTGTGAATTTTGAAGCATTTCATAGAGCAGATTTTAAATTTTTGATGTTCAACACTTAAGGTCTATAAACACACATCTCTCTCTCTCTCTCTGTCTCTGTCTCTCTCTCTCTCTCTCTCTCTATATATATATATATATATATATATATATATATATATATATATATATATATATATTCTTCATCCTGTTTGACTCTGGCACCCTTTAGTCCTAAATGAATACACAGATGGTATATTGGGTATACAACAGTTGGCTGGTGGTTGGGCTTCTTATTGGCTATCT